CGACGATCTTCGTATGCAAAGTGAAAGTTCCGAATATCGCGCTGAATGTTGCAATCGTCCGGTGCTCTCAACCAACGCAATTCATCACCCAATCGCATCAGCCCAAAGTACTCAACATATTTCGGTAATGATATCCAAATATTAACAGCGCCGCAAAAGCAGTTTATGATTTTTGGTGATTTCAATGCAAAACATAATTCTTGGAATTGCCAAAGTAACAACAAAGCTGGCAAGCTTACAACAAACAAACCCATTCATGATTTACCACACATCTGAAGTTCAGATTCTGAACATACACCACCCTCACTCAGACCAAACACCATCTACGATTGATATTTTGCTCGCCAATGTATGTTTTCCGTTCGATCTAAACGTATGCTCGGGTCATTTATTTTCTGATCACAACCCGATCATATGTGACATCTTAATTGAATTTCCTCATCATGAAAAGAAAAACTTAGACCATAAAAGTGTCGATTGGATACAATTTCGACATCACATAGACTCAAAAATCAGCGAATTATCAAACCCGCCTAGATCGATCTATAAAATTGACAATGCGATCAAAAATCTCACAACCTACATGCTCGAAGCGCAAATAGTAGCCATACCACAGAAAACAATCAACATTAAACCATTCATTTCGTCAGACAAAATATAATAAACATATACCGCATTGTTGAAGAATTAGAAAACCGCGAACATATTCTGGATATTTTCTGTTTATTAGAAGTTAATTTGAATGGTTTTCCAAAAGAAAAGCTGAAGAGCATCTTTCACAATCACCATATTATTTACTCGACGAATTTCTATGGAATAGTTATTTTGATAAACAAACATAAATTTGAATTAGATTTAGAATACATAGATGAAGAAACGGATCAAGTATGGGTGCGGATAAAGCCTATAAAATGTATGACAAAAAATCTTTTGCTTTGCGTTTTTTATATAAGACCAGTAGATTTTGATATGTGTAAAAAAACTTTCTATCGTTTAGATCAAAATTTAAAAACATTAAAAAATAATAATGACATTTTAATGTTAATAGGGGATTGCAATATAGCAACCACATACTGTTTAGATACTTTTTTGCCAGATCTTTTAATGAATACCAAAAAAAGAGCTGGCATATTGAAAAGTTTTTTAGAAAATAATGATTTGAAACAAATTAATTTCATTGAAAATGATTACGGTAATATAATTGACATATGTATGGTACCTAAACATATAGATGTTGAAATTAAAATAACGAAGACATTCAGAAAGAACCAACGTCGAGATCACAATGCATACCATCATACATTAATCATTTGAGTAAAGTGTAAATTTGTTGTAAATGAAAAATAAATGATGAATTTGAATAAAGTTTGGGGCACGATATATATATATTTTATTATTTCATAGCTTAATGTAATCAAATAAAAAACCTCTATCGAGGTGAAGAACGAGTGACGAAACCAAAATGTGAAACACAAGATTTCTGATATCAATTTTGTCAAGAAATGAATTAAATGTGAATTTGGAGGTACCTTCGAATTGGCATTAAAAAGAAATGATTTAA